GTGTGTAATTAGGATATTTGTTTTCTTTACATTATTTTTGTTTACCAATTTTCATAATGATTGTATTTTTTACAAAAAAACAAGTTAAATAATTAATACTCTTTTATAAATATAACAAAATGATTTAGTGCTAAATATAAAAATCAGTTGATGCTATAACAATGGCTAATACGATGTCCATAAAGTAAGCAATTATGACATTGCATTACTGGGGTGATATAAGGTACAACTCTGACTGGGAGACCATAAATTGAAATTTCTTTAGGGATCATTTTTCCTGAAAAAGTAATACAAATCGTACTTGTTCGTACATAGGAGACTTCTTTACCGGTTTCCACAACTCTTCTATTTAGGCGTTTGACATGAAGAAGTTTACAATTCACTAAATGAGTTTCAGTTGCCTCTTTAATTTCATCTTCTGTAAATGATCTGTCCACATACCTTACAATCCCTTTGCAAGAGACGTTGTGTGATGGAATAAAAACTTCATAACCTTTATTTTCCATTTCTTTATCCTCTATAAATTGAACATTGGTAAAGATCGCACCAATACGGTTTTTCCCTTTTCTTACTATTTTGAGGATATCCTTCAGTTTCAGATTAAAAATGGTTTTTGCTATACTTAGTATATGGAGATTTCCTAGATTATTTGGTTTTTCTTGGACATACACTTCGAAGGGGCCCGAGTCTGTGTTCGAATACAAGTTTTTAACCCTCAGCGAAGGATCCGGGGGGTCCTTGACCCCCTCGTTAACCCCCAACACCATGTGGGTTGGAGGTTAAGTTAACCTCTATTTGTTTATATCACAAAAATATGTTTATATACAATTACTTACTAACAGCATGAGGAAGAAAAAGGTTGAAAATACACAGGATGTTGTTAGTAAAGCCCAAATAACAAAAGTATGAAAAATTTTCACTGACAGCGATGTTTTCACTTCGAATGTCAAAGCAAATGTCACCTTTAAAATTTTGGTAATCATTTTAGACAGGAATTCGCAATGGTTAACATGTATTTTTCATACTAAATTGTGGATAGATGAGAAATTAATTGTTGTGTCACCTTAAAAACAAGAATGTCTTTAAAAAATTCAAAGAGGGTGGGTGGCTCAGTGGTAGAGTTTCTGCCTGTGGATCCAAGGGTCCCAGGTTCGAATCCTACCGTTGGCCGGAATTTTTTAATTTAATTTAATTATTTAAAATTAATTCTGATGCCTTGGTAGGATTATCCACTCGACCATTCACTGTTGGGTTCTAATTAACAGTGCTGTTCTTAAAGTGGTGCTGGGAAACAATAACAAAGCCTACACAGGACACGATGCGAAATAACCTTAGCAGTTGAAGCCAACGACACAAAAAAAAAATTCAACTTAGTATGAATCTAAGTATGGGTATTTCAAGATACTGGTTTGAGGGTCTTGTATAAAAAACACTGATGTCAAATCAATGGTTTATTATATAAAACATAATTTTTCAGAAGAAAATATTTATATAAAACAAACAAAACAACTAAATGATTTAAAAATACAAACATGAATAATTTTAATTTTTTAATTATTATAAATTGCAGGTAAATTGTACCGAACACCAGTAGCGTATCCAGAAAACTTTAAGTTTTGAAATTAAGAAATAATAGGCACATATACTAATTATTAACCATTTTAATTATATTTTTTGATCAACCCTTAACCCCCTGAAACCTCCCCGAAATACTAAATACTAAGGATAAAACTGATATTTTGATATCAAAATGACACTAAAACGTATTTAGGTATGTACTAAATCCACTTTTCCGATTTTTTAAATTCTTAAAATAAAACTATTTTGATAATAATGTAAATATACCTATCGTTGGCCATATTAGATTTTTTGACAGGACGTTGGAATACCTTAATTCATAACCAAAGGTATACGGACATTTCACATTTAAAAAAATTATTGTATCCATTTAAAATAAAAATAATTATTTTCAGAAAAGTAGGTAATGAAGTAACAGAATGATTAAATCTATTATAAGAAGGCTCGTAATTATTCCAACAAATATAACGGTGGTGGAATTTTTAAATGGCCTACCCTGTACACCATTGGAAACAAAAAATCAAAATATTTCGTTGATTATCGAAATATCTAGGTATTTTTAGAAGCAGAGAAACTTTAAATACCTAAGTACCTACCGTATTTTTATTTATCCATCAAATTCGTAACCCAGTTATGTGAAACAATCATCAAACTACTACACATCTTAGACGTGCACCTCTTGACTTTTACTGCTCTCCTATTCTTTAGAATTCGCAGTCGTCTTACCCCTTTACTGTAAAGAAATGCCAGAAATTCCAACCGCTGCGACTCCTCTCTCACTTTCCACCCACCATTTCTTCTGCTCTTTTGGTAAGTTTTCCTTTTAATTTCTGATAATGCATGCATAAATTAGCACCTCCGAGATACATCTTAGGTTACTACTCCGTTTTCTGTGCTCCTAGTTGGCAGTCGAGCTGATTTTTGTGAGTTCTGTCAGTCAAAATCTTGCGCAGCAGCAGCAGCACGTCGATGAGGCAGGCTAAAGACGACTCTCAAAATTTCTTTCTTTTTAGATCGTGTTTTGTGTTTATTTACTGTTTTATACATGTTGTTGATTGAGGATTTTTTGATTAACCATATATTTTTCCTCTACCTATAGGTACTGTGATTAATGTAGAATGTGTAGAAAGTAATTTATTAGTGACTCCTATTCTTTATCAAATAGAAAACTATAAACATAGACAACAAACAACAAATAAGTATAATTATAGATAATCGAAAACAGTAAGAACGCCTAGATGTAACACATATTAATAAAGAAAAAAACATGAAATTATAATAGTAGGTATTGTGGTAAATAGACTCGCTTGTCTGATCTGATGCCATTCACTTACTAAAAAAAAACTTAAAATATAATAATTCTTTTATTTTAGTATATTCATATACAAACCCTCCTGTTACATGCATTCTAATTGTACCTAGTTACAGTTACACTTAGGACAAAGCTAGATTGGTAAGATAAATGAATTATTAATTACCTAATCACAAGTGATCTATGGTGATATTTAACTAATTAATAACTCTGAAGAATCTTATTAGTATTTCAAACGAAAAAGTCATCATTATTTTTAAGGGTTCATATTTCAATTAAAAATTAAATATAATAGATAATGCTCATTGACAACAGTTTCACCCAAAAGAGAAGCAAAGTGAATCGATCTCACACAAGTTAACTGTGACTGTTTCGACTCCTACCAGGAAGCCAGGAGTTGCTATTGGTAAAAGCAGCATAGAAGCAGGGGATCTATTCTTGAATTTCAGAGAGTAGAAAATTTGAGGGAAGAATGAGACAAAAATAAAAAAATTTTGCATTGTAGATATAGAGAAGAAATCGGTTTTTATTCCCTCGAATTCAAGAATAGCTACCCTGGTAACTTGAAATTATTTATTGTACTGTATACCGAAATACCTAATAGACAGTAATTTAAAGTATGAAAAATACTGTCATATGTCATTGCGCCAAAGTTTGGAGAACTTTTTGAAGGTTACCGGACAAGGGTTTTTTTCGCAGTATTGGGAACATATTGCTATTGCATCACACATTCTTGGCATTAAATTACTAGGTATCTATTATTTTGGCATTCAAATTTATAGCTATTAACAAGAAGAATGAATAAATGAAAAGTAGTTTATTTGTTTAAAAAGTATATTTGTAAAATTTATTTTAAAATTTTCTTCTGATATCTAAGATGTTAGATGACGAGAATGTTGAATCAAAATATTTCAATCGATCTCTTAAAATAACTTGTTGCAGTTTATTATACCTACAACAGCAACTTCTGGTTTCCTGATGGGCGTTGGAACAGTCACAGTTAACTTGAAATCACGTTACTACTCTCTTTTAATTGTTACTTACTGAGCATTATCTATTTTTCAAATTTTAAATTAAAATATGAGCACTTAAAAATAATGATAACTAGTAATTTAATAAGGATATCCAAAAATCTACCGATTTTTTTGTAGTTCCTCTAATCCTGCTAATTTTCTACGAAGCTGCCACTTTTTTTAAATAAAAAAATATTACTATCTTGCAATTGTGACTTAGTATCACTTAATTGTAAGTTACTAATTCACAATTGTGACTTATCATCATCAATTGTGACTTATCATCCGCAATTGTTAGTTGATAATTCGCAACTGTTACTTATTGTCGCGCATTGTGAGTTAATAAGTCATAACTCGCAGTGGTGACTTATTATCTTTTAATTGTGACCAGTTGTGAGCTAATAACTCGCAATTGTGACTTATTATCTCACAATTGGGGCTTATTATCACGTAATTGTTACTTAGTATCTCGCAATTTTGACTTATTATCTAGTAATTTTGACTTATTATCTCGCAATTTTGACTTATTATCTCGCAGTTGTGAGTTATTATCTCTTAAGATATGTTTTACATATTTATTTAGACATATAAATCAGACAACGGCCGACAACGTTGTATCTCAGAAAGACTCGTGAATTAATGAATTTTGGTTTAAGAACATGAACCCTAAACGGACTTAATTACCGTTATACAAAGTCTTAAAAGTTAAATTCAAAATTAACCATAAATCATTAATGACTTTAAATATTTTATAGCAAGTCTGTTTAACACAGTGTTATGTGTGTTATTGTTGCCGTTGTTACTGTTTTTCATCGCCACTTTAGGAACAGCACTGTTAATTAAACCGAGTGGGAAATCCCATCTATGCATTAGAATTATTTTTAAATCAATCAAATATCCAGTCTCATATGGGATTCGAAACCGGAACTCTCTGATCCAGAAAGAAACTTTAAAATTAGATATATCCTAACAAAAATTTTCATAAAATTAAATTGAATGAACAGCTATCAAATTTATATGTTAACATTTACGAAAATAAAAATTAGTAATAAAAGTCATGTTTCATTCAAAATTTTTATTGTTAAAATAAAATTACACTGACAAACAAACAAAATGAAATTAAGCAAAAAATAACACTAATGTTTCATTATGGGTTCAATAATTAATTTTATAGATTGACTTGTGGATGAGAACCCGCGTTTATTGCTTCTTTAATTCTTCTTGAAAAATCTTCATCTACTTTTGCAAAGTTTGCAAGCTGTCTTTCTTGAATGACATTATTAGCATTCTTCAACCAACTAACAATATTTTGAATCAATCTTCCACGTTCTGCTGGCTTCAAAACTCGTTGGTATAACAACCTGCACCATACAAAAAAATATTAAATAGTTACAGTATTTGTGCATATATATGGTTTATGTTTTGAGTATATTTTATATAGTAACATCTTTTTAATGTGAATGTTACTTAGTGGTTTTAATTATTCACAGAATTGTTTTCACCACTTTACTATTATATTCTCAACATTACTTCTCCCACAGTTTTTGCTCACCCTGTATACAATTATTTTCATAATTTTACATTTTCAAAATTAATTTTCTCTGTTATAATTACATCAAATTTACTTTATATTGCTGAAAAGATAATTAAAATCCCTTTCAAACAAGGTGTCACACAGTCCCCTTGCTTATTTAAAATTCAGAAGAGGGGGATATTTTCTTATTATAAATTGTTAAATTAACAATATAAATCGAACTGTTTCAGGTTTTTTTCCCAAAAGTACACAATAACATAAATTTATTCCATACATATCAACCAGTACTGTACTTATAACAGATAACTGTTCTGTGTGTTTAACCCTGATACTTAGATAAAAGAGACCAGAGATATAACATACACCGGTTTTAAACCTGCGCAAATGTTGCCAATTTCTAAAAAAGGGTTAACGGAGTGGGGGAACTGGGCGGCGACACGCGGCGACCCGAACTCTGTGACAGGGACCGGACTTTGTTTATTAGCGAATTTTGTATTATGAAATCAAATTATCGTGATTTTTTAATATCAAACAGATGCCACGACATTTTATGTAAAGAGAAGACCTTTTATAGAATATTTCGTTAGCGTTTATTTACTACGGACTTTTCTGCAAGAGATTACAGTAAAATGTTGAAATAGAAATAGAGCAAAAAATGTTACTCATTGTCTACGAGTATTATAAAAATAGCATGTGCGCAGGCTAATACTGCAAATCTACCCTTATGAGTTGAACATTATATTTTTTCTACGGCTATTACATATTATTAAAAATTAGTCAAAATGAGAAAATGCTGTTTTGTATTGTAGCCTCAGAAAAAGTATATTAAGGCTTCTTTCTTTAAGAATATTATTTATTATAAAGGATGAGTCACATAAAACTCTAGAAATGCATATGTCTGAAACCAGATAACATTTTAAAATTTAAATCTATTAAAAGTCATTTGGTCGCTAGGGATGAGTGATTATCGAAATTAATTATCGATAATTGAAAATAATCGATTATTTTCGATCAATCGATTATTTTCAAACAATTTTTTTTTTGTCATTTCCTTTAAAATCGACTACTTGATTATCTTTGAAAAATCAAAAATAATCGATTAATTAAAAAGCCAATTAACCGATAAATCAGTGTTTACAAAATATAATATAAATAGAATTATCGTTTATTTTAAATAATCGATTATTTTCAAATAAACCATTTTTTTTTCGTCCATGGAAACAGATTATTCGATAATCTTTGAAAAATCGAAAATAATCGATTAATCAAAAATAATCAATTAATTAAAAAGTCGATTAACTGATAAATCGATTTAAAAAAAAACAGAATGATCGATTATTTTAAATAATTGATTATTTTCGATCAATCGATTATTATCAATAATCTATTTTTATTGTATTTCCTTTAAAATCGATAATTCGGTTATCTTTGAAATACCAAAAATAATCAATAATTCCAAAATAATCGCCTAATCGAAAATAACCAATTAATTAAGAAGCCGATTCTCATATTTCCTTTGAAATTGATTATTCGATTATCGAAAATAATTGATTATTAAAAAGCTGATTATCCAATAAATCGATAATTTTAAAAAAATAACCAAAATATCGATTATGTAAAATAACCGATTATATTCAATCGATTATTTTCATATAATATCTTTGAAAAATCGAAAATAATCAAATAATTAAAAAACCGATTAAACGATAAATCGATAATTTTGAATAAATGTACTTTTTCTGTATTTCCTTTAAAATCGATTAATACATTATCCTAAAAAAAAACGAAAATAATTTATTAAAAACAGCGGATAAATCGATTTTCATTAAAAAATATCAGAATTATCGATCAATCGATTATTTTTGTAACCCCTATCGGTCGCTTGCTTTTATCTGAGCATTTAGTTCCAAAATTTAGAGATTCGGATTTTTTTATCCAGTTATCTTTGAAATCGCATTCGCTTGTATAATAAATAAATATTGCTAAATTTTTGATTTTTTTAGTAAACGAAAATTATGTTCGAGTTGTTTAGGGGTTTGTAATGTAACATTTTATTAACGTGACTAAGGGTTGATTCCACCGTTGTGTTAAACGAAGTTTAAAATGACATTTTTACATTAACACTGTCATTTTAATCTCCGTTTAACACAACGGTGGAATCGGACCTAACTTTATCGGACCTGTAACTTTAGTATTTTTTTTTTGTTTATACTAGATTACTTTGTTTTAAGACTGAAAATTCAATGTCACTTTCGATTTGACCGCAAATAAGATGAACCTTGAAATTTTAAGTAGGTCATCCTGTATTTCATCTAATATTCTTATAAAAATACCTTATAAAAATAAAATTTAGCTAGCAACTATGATTCTTTACCTCTTATTTATCTACCAAAAAGGGCTAAAAACTACCTTTAGAAAACATTCTTATAAAACTACTATTTAAATACAAAATTTCGTTAGCAATAATGCCTATTTACTATTTGTTTAAATTAAATGTTAAAAATTTTACCCTTTTGTAAATTTGTGTAAGTAATATGAAATCTGATGCTTAATATTTATTGAAACCCCTTAATGTGGATCTGAAGTATTCAGCCCAGAGACTCATGGCGCTTTATGTCAAAACGTTAATAAATATTTACCGCTGAAAACGAATATATTCATAACAGTAGTACTTGCATTATAAGTACATACAATTTTTCAAGATACATCGTGACATTTTGAACTTGAAATTGAATAACTAGAACACTTTAAATTGCTAAAATACCAACAAATAAATCAAAAAACAGCTGTCAATGGTGATTAAACTCAGGTGGAGGTGTGATCGCTGAATGGAAATTGGAGCAATTCGGGTGGCGTCGTGCAACAATGATTTTCAATTGTTGGGTTACTTTGGCTTAAAATAGACAGCATGCGCAGTGTGCAATGTTACATCTTCGGTCTCTTTAATCTAAGCCCTGATATTATTAAAACTTTAATTTGAAATAGTGAACTATACAGAAAAGAAGAAAAAGCATGAATTACTATACCTAGGTTGGGCGTAATTTTCATCTTGTCCACTGTCAATTCTCTGAGCATCTCCTACCAATGGTATGATTGGAGACAATGCTTTGGCTCTTCTGTCTTCTTCTGGTCCTTTAAAACTGTTAGGATGATATACAGGAGCTCCATTTTGACTCTGCAAAGAACTGTGACCATCTCTTTGATAATTATTAACCTTGAAGGGGCTGTTAACTGGTAATTGGGTAGTGTTGATGCCCAAACGGTATCTATGGGTATCACCATAGTTGAACAGCCTACCTTGGAGCATTCTGTCTGGAGATGGTTCTATGCCTAAAAGAAGATTTTGTCTGGTATAAATTGTCTGTGAAAAAATAGAAGAAAGCTTGACAGTATTAGGCACATACATAGTACAAATGAAATATTTGGTAGGTAAGATAGAGAATCTTTACTGGATTTAAACAGATTTCCCAGTATTAGATTTTTTATCTGTACACAGAACAAATATTAATATTAACTCTTAAGATATACGCTATTAAGATATAAGTTGATGATGTAGGCGTTACTATTGTGTTGTATATTATTATCGGATTAAAAATGAACTTCAGTTATATTATTATAGGTTGTATATTGTAATAGAAATGAAACATCAAAATTTAAAATTCAAAGTTATTCAGTAAAATATGTATTTGTGTAAATAAAAAATTTTAAAAAAATATATCATCCTGTACATAAAATTTAATTTGAAGGGAGATGTCAAATTAATTAGAAAAGTCAGAGAGATCCTGAAGGAAGGTTGAAAGACATCCTACAGGAATCAATTTTTTGTAATAGAATATTTAAAAATTACCTACATTTAGAGCCGCAGTACATTTAAAATTTAAAAAAAAAAGTTGTAATATTTAATAACAAATTAAAAATAGACAAGTTGTAGATCACCTCAATTGTACAGTTAAACCTTGTTACAACTTAATGGTAATAAATTAGAAACTTGTATTCACAATTTGTCTATTTTAAAAATAAAAAAAATATTTTACAGGATAATACTGACGATGGTAATTAAAAGCAACTTTATAATTTAATTGACTAATTAGTATATAAACCACATCCTTAAGCCTAACTTTTTATATAGAACAGAAAGCTTAATCCATTTATTTAGATATAAAAATAAATATTTCAAGGTATCTTATTGTTAGAATTGTTGCTGTTATTATTTAATAAATAAACTAAATAAACTAAATAATCTAAATAAATTAAAGAAACTAAACTAAACAAAATAAATAAATAATTAAATATTTTATTTTCTTGAACTGACACCACTGTGATAGAGTCTGCTCTACAAAAGTGTTAAATAAAATATATATAAAAAAAGCTAGCCAAGGTAAGTCAAGTTAGTGTGTATATTTTATTTTTTTTAAATTGTGAGGTTATGAAGTGACAGTGAATATCACAACAAATGGCGCCCAACGTGGGGCAGTAAAGTGTCAAACTGACAATTAGGCGTGAAATCTGTCAAACTAACACAAGTGTTAAAATAAAAGTTTAAAAATAAGTATATTTAGTTGTGTTAAAATAATAGTAAAAAGTGGAAAAATAAATTAAAATTGAGTGCAATAATTAATAGTGAATAAATAATATAATAATAAAAAAAAAATACTGTTAAATAAAATAAAATGGATTTAAGAGGAGGAAAAAGGATAAGTAGAAGAGATGGGGAAGAGTTGGAAGAAGTTGGACAAGGAGAAGCACAAGAAATTGAAGTACAAGAATTAGATCAAAGAGGAATAGAAGAGAATGACAATTTAGATGGAGAGAGCAATATTAAACAGGAAAAAGATAAAATAGAAGAAGATAATGGGCCAGAAAAGAATATTGAAGAAAAAGATTTAGGGCAAGATGCTATGAAAAAGCTAATGGAGATGATAATTAGTATGGGAAATAAATTGGAGAAAAATAGAGAAGAAGACAAAAGGGAAAGAAAGAGAGAATTGGAAATAAATAGAGAAGTAATTGAGAAAAATAGAGAAGAAGACAAGAGAGAAATAAAGAGAGAAATAAAAAAAACTGGAGAACAGATGGAACAAATAATGAATAAAATAGATGAAAACAGTAAGAAAATAGAAGCAACATTAGAAAATTTTAAAAGACGAATAGAAGAATCAAAAATACAAATGGAGAATAAAATTCAAGGGACAAAGATTGAAATGAGAGCAGAAATAATTAGAAGAATAACAAAGATAGAAAATTTACAAGACAATAAGATTGACAATATGAGAGAAGAAATAAAAGAAATAAGAATAAATGAACAAAATACAGAAGAAAGATTGACAACATTGGAAATTAAATGGACAAATACAATAACAGAAATAGACGGGAGCATAGATCAAAATATAAAAGTATTAGAAGACAGAATCATAAATCAACAACAACAACAACAACAACAACAACAAGGAGAACAAAGAATGCAGAGCGAGATAGATAATATTAAAAATGAAATAGAAACTATAACTGATGATATTAATAGGACAAAATTTCAAAGGAATGATAAAGATAAAAAAGGAGAAAATGAGGAAATTGATAAAAAATTTAAAGAAATGGAAAAGAAGTTAAAATATTTACAAGAAAAATATGAAATAGAAATGACAATAAAAGGGAATAAAATGGGAACAAAAATTATTAAAAACCAAATGAGAAGTAAAAACAAGAAAAAAATAATTGATAAAATAAGATGGGAAAAAGTAAGAAGAGATGGGAACAAAATGAAAATTAATAATAAAAGGAAAATTGAAAGAATTGTAAAAAGATTAAGAAGAAAAATTAAAATAAGAAATTTATCTGAAAAGGAAAAGACGAGAAACAAAGTCAAAGAAAAGCATAAATATTAAAAAAAATGGACAAAAAAAAGAACACCTGAACAGGATAAGAAAGGGAAAATGAGATTACGGTACTTGAATAAAAAAAAAAATTGTAAATATTTAGAATTATGGGATCAGTGAAATAATAAATTGTTGAACTTAGAGGTAATGAATTAGAAAATTTATTAATAGTAAAATAACAATTGATGAGAAAATAAATAAAATAAAAGACAAGAATAATAATAAAAAAAAAATAATGGAAAGAATAAGAAGTTGAAAAATAAATACAGATGTCATTTAAGAAGTATTATTAGTATTAACAGAAGGAGGATTTATCACTTAAAAAAAATTTAAGCAAGTAAATAATAATGTAGACATAATAATGAAAAGTTAAAACAAAGAAGATGAGAAGGAAATTTGTGTATAAGAAAAATAGTACAATGGAACAAAGACTGGCATGAAATAATGGTGAGAAGAATATGAATAGTTAATGGTTTTATATTAGGAGAATGTATGATAAAATAATAATAAATAATGCGGTATATTGATTTTAATGTATAATGATGAAATGTGATAATGTTTATGAATATAAATGGTATATGAATAAAAAATAATATATAAATAATTATTTGATATATAATAAGAAAATGAAAATAAAATAAAAAATGGAAAGAAGAATTAAAATGGAAAAGTATGGAATATTATGAAATAAAAAAAAAGTGGAATAAGAACAGTATACACAAAATAAATAAAAAGCAATTATGTCTACAGGAAACGAAACAATATAATAAGAATAGAGTATAAGAAGTTATAAATGAAGAAATACAAAACTATGTGAAATGATAAATGAGAAAGTGCACTTAACACAAAATACTAATAATATTAATAATATTCATAGACAAAATAATAGCAATAATAATCACAGTAGCAATACATTTAATAATTATAGCAATAGGAATTATAATAATACTAACACTTATGGCAACAATGATAACAATAACAACCACGATAAATGTCAATCTACAGAATAATAGTAATTATAGTAGTAATATTAATTATTATAAAAAGGGAAAAGATCACATTTCTGAACAAATTACTTAAACTAAAAAAATAAAAACAAAATAAATTGATAATAATTTAGAGGTGGTTTTCATATGTATAAAAATAAAATTTTCATTTGAAATTTTACCAAACTATTTGGAAAATTCCAAATGTAAATTTGGGAATTTGTAATAGAAATGAAACATCAAAATTTAAAATTCAAAGTTATTCAGTAAAATATGTATTTGTGTAAATAAAAAATTTTAAAAAATATATCATCCTGTACATAAAATTTAATTTGAAGGGAGATGTCAAATTAATTAGAAAAGTCAGAGAAGGGTTGAAAGACATCCTACAGGAATCAATTTTTTGTAATAGAATATTTAAAAATTACTTAAATTTAGAGCCGCAGTACATTTAAAATTTAAAAAAAAAAGTTGTAATATTTAATAACAAATTAAAAATAGACAAGTTGTAGATCACCTCAATTGTACAGTTAAAGTAAACGGGTGAAGTTATATGGTGAATCTATTATAAACTGAATGGTGAGAATGCAGACATATTAATAAGAAGTTTTTGGATTTGAAGATGATAGAAGAAAGGACATTTTACTGTGAGTAAATAGTTTTGTTATAGTGAAAGAGCATAATAGACAATTTTGTTATCATTAATTCAATAAACTATATTTGCTTTTAAAATTGAAGCTAAACTATTAGAAGATTAGAATTAAGTAAATTATTTAGAATAGTTAAATTTTGGAGAAGTAAAACGTCAAAATTTTTTAATTGTCACATTGAAATTTAGTGGTTAGTAAGTGTGTATGGTGATGGATTTATGATTAGAGTAATTTAGTAAGTTAGTATATAGACAATTTTGTAGATTTTCAGAAATTTAAACCTTGTTACAACTTAATGGTAATAAATTAGAAACTTGTATTCACAATTTGTCTATTTTGAAAATAAAAAAAATATTTTACAGGATAATACTGACGATGGTAATTAAAAGCAACTTTATAATTTAATTGACTAATTAGTATATAAACCACATCCTTAAGCCTAACTTTTTATATAGAACAGAAAGCTTAATCCATTTATTTAGATATAAAAATAAATATTTCAAGGTATCTTATTGTTAGAATTGTTGCTGTTATTATTTAATAAATAAACTAAATAATCTAAATAAATTAAAGAAACTAAACTAAACAAAATAAATAAATAATTAAATATTTTATTTTCTTGAACTGACACCACTGTGATAGAGTCTGCTCTACAAAAGTGTTAAATAAAATATATATAAAAAAAGCTAGCCAAGGTAAGTCAAGTTAGTGTGTATATTTTATTTTTTTTAAATTGTGAGGTTATGAAGTGACAGTGAATATCACAACAATATATTGTATTCCCCCAATAAAAGTATTTCAAAAGCCTATTAATATTTTAAAAGTAATACTTTCATTTTTACCTGGAATTAGATGTGCGACATCAAAGGCAATCTGTTCAATTTCAGCAAAATAGCTTTTAGGATTCTTGTTCAACACAAACCGTCCAACCGGTATTAGAGGAAAATCAGCATGTAACCATACTTTTGAATCGTCAAATGGATCATACGAGGTCTTAGCAGCTTGCTCTGGAGTCATTATCTGAACATACATTGTCCAAGATGGATAATTTCCGGTGTCAATCGCGTTGTATAAATCTCTGATAAGATAATCGGGGTCTGATCCGTTTATTTTCTCAGCTAGGTCTGAATTCAGATTTGCTATGCCTAAAAATAATATCCACGGTAGTGTGGCAAGTTTCTTTAAATATATTTAAATATTGTTTTGCGTATACGAGTACCTTGATTAGTCAAATAATGGAATTTGCAGTAATTGAACTTTCCTTGGGCGTTAACGAATGCGAAAGTGTTTGCTCCATATCCATGCATTTGTCTATAACTAGCTGGTATTCCCCTATCTGCAAACATCATTAATAGAGCATGCATAGATTCCTCCCTCAAGGATATAAAGTCCCAAAACATGTCATAATCTGGTCTAATATGGGTACTTGGATTTCTTAAAAATAAAATCATTTGATAAGGATATTTTTAGAGAATAGATAAAACAATTTCGTGCAAAATATAGTTTTGTCACCTTTTTAAAACGTGAATAAAATTTGGAAACAGTGCACAATCCCTAACGAAGAACACAGGAAAGTTATTTCCTACCAAATCCCATATACCATCTTCAGTATAAAATTTTACTGCAAAACCTCTAAAATCTCTGTTAGTGTCTGCTGAACCCATTTCACCAGCAACTTGAGAAAATCTAAAACAAAATAATACAAAATAATTCTATGGTGATCATTTTCATATTATGATACAATTAATTCAAATAATATAACATGATGTTACCTGACTGCGATAGGGGTCTTTTTTCCAATCTCCGAAAACACTTTGGCAGCTGTATATTGGTTGATATCATGGGTAACTTCAAAGTATCCAAAAGCACCAGCTCCTTTAGCGTGAACGACCCTTTCTGGAATTCTTTCCCTGCTGAAGTGTGCTAGTTCATCAATAAGGACCCAGTCTTGAAATAATATCGGTCCATGATAGCCGACAGTAAGACTGGCATCTTTTTCTGGTACGGGATTACCGCCTGATGTTGTAATCGGGTCCCTGTGATCCTAGAAGCAAATTTCATAATAAAATCTACGCCGCAGATGAAGTGGGACAAAAAATTACTAATTTTGACTAGCTATAACTTCGACATTTCTTTGCCGATGTTGGATTTTTAGCCAGAGGTGCAAAGCGCCATCTTTGCTGTTTGTCAGTGGCGTTGAATTTTTTTTTAATCCCTTCTTGTTGTACAGGGTCTGAATGTAAGGCAGCGAAGAATGTCGCGTTTTTTTGGCAATGAATTTTGAAAATGAGAGTGGCCAAATCAAGTTCTTTCTGATGAGTGGATCACTAGGTCGACATTTTAGGATGTCTTTGCCATTTTTTTTGATACTTTGCGTTGCTATGAAAATGTCGCCATTTTATAAAATTCCGTTTTTCTCTTAAAATTATAGTTTAGGAGCCCACTGCAAAATGTTGGGTCGATCACTAGTATGGCTAAATTTTCATGAAAACGTCGAGTAATATATTGTACAATAGTAATCCGTCGGCAGCCGCCCCAATATCGTTTGCGTTTTACGTTATAAAAAATTATTAACAATTGAAAATATGTGCTACCCTCCACCCATTGCTTTTTTGCCAAATTTTCTACTTAATCGATAGATAGTAGTTAAATATAATTTTCTATACCCGGCTGCCGACCATCATCCTTTGCGTTAAGGGTGGCTGATGGGGCTGAAAAGTACTATATCGATGTTGCTTTTATACACTCATCGCTTTTATAGTCAAACTAAATACCTTTGGAAAAGTCGCAAAATTTCCAACAAGAAAATACCCGGCTGCCGCGCGAAAGCGTTTGCATAACTTAGGCTGCCGCGATTTTGTGCGCGCGCAAGATTCGATGATCACGTATGAAATCAGCGCTTTAGATAAATTACGTGTTAAAATCAAAATGTCATAATTTTGCACTTGCGTCATTGTTTTACCGGAACAACGATATTGTGTTTTTGTTTTTTTTTTTAATAATCCAACGCATTTACACCCAAAACAAATTTTGTTAAGAAATCTCACCGGGGGGGAGGGAGGGTAAAAAAAATCCTCAAAAATACCTCACGTAATTAATGGACGCCCCCTAACGATGGCCAGGGGCCCTATCCTCGGCTATCGTTTTTTAAAAAACGTATACGCTTTAGCAACATGCGAGATATTTGCTATTCTCGACATTCATTTTAAAAGCGTGTACGTTTCTAAAACGGGTATTTTACAGCCAGCGGATTTTTCACACGTTTTTGATAAAACGTGCATGTTTTCAAGGATTTAGCTAATGTCACTTTTAGGATGAATAATAATATTGATCGATTTTAACGAATTTTGGGCAAACTATTTTTTATTAATATCTATGAAAGTATCTAATTTCTTACAAATATGGTTTGTAGTACTAAAAAAGTCTAATAACTGAGAATTTCTTTCAATTTTTATTAATTATTCAATTAGAAAACTTGGAAGATAACAATCCTTAAAGATTCAGACACGCAGAGGCAGAATTCATTTTTTGAATTTAAGGAACATTTTTTTATATCTTAAATTAATTTGCTTGCAGTTTCTTGCAAGTGGTAGTTCAAAGCTCTTCTGTATCACACGTTGTGATCAGAAATTTTAAAAATTTGGGCACAAAATAATAAAAAACTAAATGAGATAAGTCAAGTTATTATTTAAATTAATTTTGTACTTCAAAAACTAGGTTTTTTATGACGTACGATTTTCCTAGAATTTTAGGTTGTATTAACTGCACCCGTATAACTATTTTTCCGCAAAAAAAAAAAACAATTCAGGTTTTCCTGAACATTTATTTATTATGTGATTAGAAAAAATCATCATTCGATAAATTTACAAATGGTTTGTTGTAATTAAATTACATATGCTGCCTTTGAATATCTACATCGGATGCATCTGAAATGTTGTGAATTTTTCTCACGTGATAGTGGATTAAATTTAAACATAGATGTAATAAACAAACGCTCTAGACCTTATTGGTCACGTGACAAAATGACAATGATAAGTTAGAAGTTTATATTTTTAAATTTGACTTTTGAGACTAAAAATCAACCTAAATTTGAAATCTAAACAAAAATTAAACACTTTTGTATTCACGCTATAATAAAAAAAGGATAAATTAATCTTGTCTTCATAGAACACCTACTTTCTGGCATGGAACGGACATCTCATTCACATCTCATTTCAAATCGAGATGTAAAAAAATGTACTCTGGACAGCTACATCTGGGATAAACAAACGCAGATGTAGATGTAGTAGATGTTTCCGATGTGGATAAACAAACGCTCGAGATGTTAAAAATGTATCAGATGTGAATATTCAAACCCGGCAATAATCCTAATTTTTTTATGGCCTGCACATTACTTGAATTCAACAATAGAGACAGTTTACGGTAAAGCCAGACATATTATTTGCTTGTTAAAAACGTACACGTTTTAAAAAACAAATGTTCATCGAACGCCAGTCAGGGATATAGATTTCAAAAACTACTCGCTTCTCAACCACACACTTTCGAAAACGATTCGTTTTTTAGGGATTGTCGAGGATAGCCGCCCTGGTTTTTTGTATGCAAAAATGACGGTACCTTCTTGAAATGCAGCGACGAAACTTAAAAAAAAAACCAGTGTACTAGAATTTCGCAAAAAAAAATTTAAATACGGAAATTTGTTGTTGCTAAACCAATATGACGCCGAATATCATTCGAAATGTTTAAAGAAAATAACAACTTTGAACCCAAAATACTGGGATGAACTTAAACTTGAAAATATTAATTTGCAAACAACTGTACGTATTGACTTTTTATGTGATTATAAATCTATCTACTGCATTAAATGCAGATTAAATGAAACAAATAAAAATTAAGTAGTTGTGGAATTGCCCGTAAGAAAATAATTGTATTTCGAAAGAAATGATTATTTATCAACGCGAACGAAATTATCGAGCAATATGACAGCGGTGTCCATTCCGATATCAATTACTCAGAAAGCGATTATTCTGAGGAATTTAGTGTATATTCTTAAACTTATTTTTTCACATTTTCTTAACTTTAACGATGTATAATTTTATAAATTGCAAAAAACAAAACAAAATTAAGACTTCTCTATTTATTTACCTCTCTTGAACATTAATTACTTTCTCTGCTTTAGGGTACTAACACAGAGAACGCTGGTTGATTATCAGCGCTTATAAGCGCTGGCAATTTACAATGATTTTAAATGTCCTCGCACACAGACAAAGCAGGTCCTGGCTGATCGGCTCGCTTTGTCATTTACATTTAAACTAGTTGAGAGAGAATAGAAGCGAAAACCAGCGCTTACAAAACCAGCATTCGCCAGCGTTCTCTGTGTTTGTACCCTTAGATATGTAGGGACGTTTTAAGCATATCTAAAAATAAAAACAATAAAAAAACAACACATAAACTATATATTTATAAAAATAACAGAATAACAAATATTCAAAGAATACATGAAAGCGAGACGCTCTAGCTTTAATCGTAAACTTGCGTGTTCCAATCAGAGACAATAACAGATGTCAAATAAACGTCAGCTGTGCGCACACTCTCAAACTCCTTATCTAAAGCGCGGATTTCATACGTGATCGAATCTTGCGCGCGCACAAAATCGCGGCAGCCTAAGTTATGCAAACGCTTTCGCGCGGCAGCCGGGTATTTTCTTGTTGGAAATTTTGCGACTTTTCCAAAGGTATTTAGTTTGACTATAGAAGCGATGAGTGTATAAAAGCAACATCGATATAGTACTTTTCAGCCCCATCAGCCACCCTTAACGCAAAGGATGATGGTCGGCAGCCGGGTATAGAAAATTATATTTAACTACTATCTATAGATTAAGTAGAAAATTTGGCGAAAAAGCGATGGGTGGAGGGTGGCACATATTTTCAATTGTTAATAATTTTTTATAACGTAAAACGCAAACGATATTGGGGCGGCTGCCGACGTATTACTATTGTACAATATATTACTCGACGTTTTCATGAAAATTTAGCCATACTAGTGATCGACCCAACATTTTGCAGTGGGCTCCTAAACTATTAGGCTTTCTTTAATTAAAGAATAACAGATACCGACTAAACTACATACAGGAAAAACGTGTAAAAAAAAATAGCCAGCACCAGCGGCGTTTAAAAGGTGCCATAATTGTAATGAGTTAATGAAGTGGTTTTTTATTTAGAAAGTGCATACATGTAATTCTTTAGAATAATTATTTATGATAATAAATATTTATTAATAATTAATTAGTAAGGCGTTGGACCTCCTCTAACCTGAATAACTGCCTGATACCGCCTTGGCATGTTCAAAAATTAAGTTAATGATTACCTCAATAAGAACTGCCTTCCAGAGCTCTAAAATCATCTCCTTGAGATCGTCTAGAGTTTCTGGCTGACGTTCCCTTCGGAAAAACGATAACTTTATCCAGCTCCAGACGTTCTCAATAGGATTCAATTCTGGGAAACTAGGGGACAATTCAGTACAATTAAGGTTTTGCTATTGTAGATATCTGTTTAGTAATAATGCTCCATGAGGCCGAGCATTATTGTCCACAAGAACAAAATCCTCGCCATATTTTCGAGCGTGCGGGAGAACTTTTGGAATTTATTCAGGTAGGCCTGGGGCCCTATCCTTGGCTATCGTTTTCTAAAAAACGTATATGTTAGCATACGAGCTATTCGCTATCTTGACATTCGTGTACGATTTTAAAACGGGTGTTTTACAGCGAGTGGAATTTTTCACACGTTTTTGATAAAACGTGCATGTTTTCAAGGATTTAGCCAATGTCACTTATATGTCACTTTTAGGATGATTAATAATATTGATTTTTAACAAATTCTAGGCAAACTAGTTTTAATTAATACCTACAAAAGTATCTACTTTTTTATAAATTTCGTTTGCAGTGCTAAAAAAGTCTAATAGCTGTGAATTTCAGTTATTATTAATTGTACAATTAGAAAACTTGTAAGATTAGAATTCTCAAAGATACAGAGGCAGAATCCATTTTTT